AATACTTCTTATTCTTATATATATATATATATATATATATATATATATACAATAAATGAAGAAAAAAAAACAAAAATCAACATGCTCCTCATTGAAGAGGTGTATCCAAAATATATGAATTGCAGTTTCAATTTATATTTTAAAGAAAGGAACAATGTCATTGACCCCTGGGCAGTGTATTAGAAATAAATCTTTTCGGTTCATTTCCATCCTGCTCTGTCTGTGTTGTTGTGTGGGTCAGATCAGTCAGAGTCCAGGCAGGAAGAGAGGACGCTTTGTCGGCGGGAGGTTGTTTGTAGTGCTCTGATTGATCTCTGGGCAGCGCCAGAGAATGGTTCCATTGCAAAGAGGGCCCGATTAGTTCAGAGGCCACTTTGTTCTGATGAAGGCATGCGCGGGGACACGGGGACACAAAGACAGGCGTTGAGGAGGGCGAGAGGAGCGGAGATGAGTGAAGTGGCACCAGTCTTCACAGCGGATCATGGTTGAATGGTGTGTAATGAATGGGAGCGGTGCCAAGCTGCCCTGGAGCCGCAAAATGCAGAGTACCAGTCCACACACCTCAGCCCTAGTCATAGACTGCCATGTCTTGCGATTAACAAGATTAGTTAATGGCATAGCAGAATTCAAGTGTATGATAGCTGCTGCTATCATTTTGTGTTGTCCCCTTTCATGTTCATTAGTAAATTAAGCAAGCTTATTTCACATTAGATCAAAAGATCAGAAACAGAGACCCAAAAACACATCTTAGAACCATGCTTCCAGTCCCTTATCTGGACTATTTGTTTTCCATCATACTAATAGTAAAGCATGAAACTGAAAAACTGATCCTAGACCAGCAGCAGACAGTATCAGTGGAAGAGAAACTTCCTCTGATATACTAAACTAGTCTGTAAGTCTATTTAGTAACCTATACAGTAAATGTGTCAAATAAAAGAATGTTTGGAACTTGACATGATGCTCATGTGTGTTTCTGAATATTTGCACAGCAGCAGCTGTTAAAGCATCCAGGAGCAGGAGCAGCAGCAGGAGCAGGAGCAGCCCGTCTCCTCCGGCGGTGAGGAAGATGGGGAACGTGATGCGGAGGGCCAGTCAGGTTCTGAGTGAACGCGGGGAGCGTCTGATGAGGGCCGACGATAAAACCAGCCACTTGCTGCACGGGGCCAAGTAGTTTGCAGAAGCTGCGCAGAAGGTGAGCTACTCTGATTTACTCGAACCTGAACTGCACATTGTCATGAACAACCAGGCAGTGAAACAGATGTACAGATACATGTTTATATATGTGTGTTAAAATATCAGTTTCCATCTCCAAACATTCATTTTGCTCAGTTTATAATATAGTATAATATAATCACTGTTGTTTTTGTCCCTTTCATGTTCATTAGTAAATTAAGCAAGCTTATTTCACATTAGATCAAAAGATCAGAAACAGAGACCCAAAAACACATCTTAGAACCATGCTTCCAGTCCCTTATCTGGACTATTTGTTTTCCATCATACTAATAGTAAAGCATGAAACTGAAAAACTGATCCTAGACCAGCAGCAGACAGTATCAGTGGAAGAGAAACTTCCTCTGATATACTAAACTAGTCTGTAAGTCTATTTAGTAACCTATACAGTAAATGTGTCAAATAAAAGAATGTTTGGAACTTGACATGATGCTCATGTGTGTTTCTGAATATTTGCACAGCAGCAGCTGTTAAAGCATCCAGGAGCAGGAGCAGCAGCAGGAGCAGGAGCAGCCCGTCTCCTCCGGCGGTGAGGAAGATGGGGAACGTGATGCGGAGGGCCAGTCAGGTTCTGAGTGAACGCGGGGAGCGTCTGATGAGGGCCGACGATAAAACCAGCCACTTGCTGCACGGGGCCAAGTAGTTTGCAGAAGCTGCGCAGAAGGTGAGCTACTCTGATTTACTCGAACCTGAACTGCACATTGTCATGAACAACCAGGCAGTGAAACAGATGTACAGATACATGTTTATATGTGTGTTAAAATATCAGTTTCCATCTCCAAACATTCATTTTGCTCAGTTTATAATATAATATAATATAATCACTGTTGTTTTTGTTTTAAATTTTATGCTTCCCAAGGCTGCATTTATTTGATCAATATGCAGTAAAATGTATTTTAAAATGTAACATATTCCTGTGATGGCAAAGCTTGAATATTCCAAAGCCATTACTCCAGTCTAATCATTCTAATCTGCTAAATTGCTGCTCAGGAAACATTTCTTCGTATTATGTTGAAAACAGTTGTGCTGCTTAATATTTTTGTGGAAACTGATACTTTTTTCTTTAGAAGGTTTAAAAGAGCAGCATTCATTTGAAATATAACTGTTTTTTCTAACAGTGCAAAAGTCTTACTGTCACTTTCAATCAGTGTAATACATCCTTGCTGAATAAAAGTGCACCACACTTTTGAATGGTAGAATAAATAATATACTATTTGAAATATGCAGCCAGGAGCAGTTATGGGTGGGTTCTGGAGGGGGAAAAAACAGCATTGTGTTGTGTATAACTAGTAACCATTTCAATTAATTATATTTAATTAAACTAAAGCATCACATTTTTCTTTATTCCCACAGCTGGCTCTGAAGCAGATTTAGAGGTGTTCCTGAAGGCCTGTATACACATTTTAAAAAGAAGCTCCTAATCATCTAGTCGCTGGATATTTTGAAATGTAACTTCTCATCTAATTCAAATGCTGTTTTTGAGTGCAAGGCATTTTGTTCAGCTTCCTCTTCACCTGCAGATTGGACTCAAATTTATGTATTTAGTTTTTCTTAATGTATTTTTTGCAAGCCATTGAGCATTTTAAGCAGTTGTGTTGTGGTGTGCTGTGGCCTGACTTGCAGATCTGTTTATTCTGCCCTTTCTACAGTAAGCACAGTATAATATAGCAGCAGGTGGCTGATCCTCTTCTGCGTAGATGTGTAATACTACTGAAATTGTTTTTCTTCGTATTATGTTGAAAACAGTTGTGCTGCTTAATATTTTTGTGGAAACTGATACTTTTTTCTTTAGAAGGTTTAAAAGAGCAGCATTCATTTGAAATATAACTGTTTTTTCTAACAGTGCAAAAGTCTTACTGTCACTTTCAATCAGTGTAATACATCCTTGCTGAATAAAAGTGCACCACACTTTTGAATGGTAGAATAAATAATATACTATTTGAAATATGCAGCCAGGAGCAGTTATGGGTGGGTTCTGGAGGGGGAAAAAACAGCATTGTGTTGTGTATAACTAGTAACCATTTCAATTAATTATATTTAATTAAACTAAAGCATCACATTTTTCTTTATTCCCACAGCTGGCTCTGAAGCAGATTTAGAGGTGTTCCTGAAGGCCTGTATACACATTTTAAAAAGAAGCTCCTAATCATCTAGTCGCTGGATATTTTGAAATGTAACTTCTCATCTAATTCAAATGCTGTTTTTGAGTGCAAGGCATTTTGTTCAGCTTCCTCTTCACCTGCAGATTGGACTCAAATTTATGTATTTAGTTTTTCTTAATGTATTTTTTGCAAGCCATTGAGCATTTTAAGCAGTTGTGTTGTGGTGTGCTGTGGCCTGACTTGCAGATCTGTTTATTCTGCCCTTTCTACAGTAAGCACAGTATAATATAGCAGCAGGTGGCTGATCCTCTTCTACGGAGATGTGTAATACTACTGAAACTGTTTTGCGGTTATTTTTCTTGCAAAACAAGAAGAAATTGCCTCCTTTGAAGTAATACATCACATTGAAATGAAAGGGGTATAGCTGCACTTGTGTTGACTAATGATTAAAAATCTTTTTGCATTGTTGTTCTACAATTTCAGATTGTAATATTTAATTTTTCTTTTTTTTTTTTTTAATACATATATCGACACATTGTGAAGTGGCATTTTTAAGGGTTAGGGTTACTTTTGGGTGATATTTCTGTAGGTTTAGCACTTCAGCTTATTGGAAGCACCATTTCTTTTCCATTAACAATATAGTAATTATTTATTTTAACTCTTAAAATATGATTTATATATATCACACACACATATATTTTAACATAACTGAAAGTTTAATGACATTACTTATTTAATATTTTACATATTTAATGGGGGTTCAGATTATGATTGCTCACATGATAATGGTTCATTTAACAGTGGTAAATTACTTCAATTGATATAACGCATAGAGATACTTGTGAATGGCTGTATGACCCTCTGATGTTTAGTTCTGATCACTTGAGAAAGCTGCTTTTATCTGCTTTTTAGTTTAAGTTCCTTAAAGATGTTAGAAGCTGTTTTAATCATTGTGAACACAGTGTTTATTTGAGTGTGATCTGTGTTTGAATAACACACTTTTGTTCTTCTGTCAATGCTGGCTTCGTCTCCTGATTCTGTGTAATGTGATAACAGTCAGCTTTGTTTGTGTGATTGTTATCAGCAGTAGCAGGAGCTACATGCCATAAGAGGCCAGAGGGTGTTTTCCGCATGGAGTCGGACTCCCTGTTTGGTGTTGGCATGTGTGATGCATCCTGTTTTCTGCTGTTGTCCTTATGCTGTCATTTTGTTGTCTCCTTGGCCTATGTGTTATAGCCTATTGCTTTCATGTCCATTTTAGATTTCATAATATAGGTGTAACAGAGAATTGTATCTGTCCTTGTCTTTGTCTGTGCTCCTGTACACATTTAAAACATGTTAAATGTGTAAACACCCATCATTTGAGCAATAAATGACACTTGTAGTGAAATGTGTATTCTTGCATGAGATATATATATGTATATATGTGGTTGTTGTCTTTGCGCCACTAGATGGCGCTCGAATACAAACAGTTCAACATCCTGCAGAAAAGCATCTACCAATGACCAAAAAAAAAAAAAAAAAAAAAAAAATAAATATATATTTTCCTTTTAAATATTGTCTGTCTAATATATAGTTGGTTTTCTGAATATGATGACATTTTTGTCTGACAACATCTTTTAACACACGGTGGATTGAATCACAGTGTTTTTCTTTCACAGCCGACA